CCTTTTTTGTATTTTATTTAGAGACAGGGTCTCACTGAGTTGCTTAGCCTTTCGCTTTTGTTGAGGCTGGCTTTGAACTCCCTATCCTCCTGCCTCAGCCTCCCAAGCCACTGGGATTACAGGTGAGCACCACCAAGCCCAGCTATTTTCCCCGTCCTAATGGGTGCATGAAGTGGCATCTCATTATAGGTTTGATTTGTATTTACCTCATGACTAACTGATGGTGAGCATCTTTTAATGTGCTTATTGGTCACTCATAAATCTTCTTTGGAGAAATGTCTATTCAAATCCTTAGCTGATTTTTATTTTTTCAATTTTGATTAAGGTATAATTGACAAATTAAAAAAATGTATAGATATTTATGGTATATAGGATGACGTTGTGATATGTGTGTACTTTGTAAAATAATTAAATCAAGATAATTAATATACCCATCACCTCACATACTTATTTTTTGTGGTAAAACATTTAAGATCTGCTCTTATATCAACGTGCAAGTATATATGATTAACTATAGTCACCGGCTGTAGATAGAGCTCCAGAACTTGTTCATCCTGTCTAGCTGGAACTCAATACCCTTTGACAAAAATCTTTCTATCTCCCCTTCCAGCATGCCATGTCAACCACAGAACGACTTCTCGGCTGCTTTGAGTTCAATCTTTTAAAGTCCCGTATAAGTCAGAAAGTGCAGCATTTTGGCTTATTTCACTTAGTATAATGTCCTCCAGTTCCATCCCATCCCTGTTATCACAAACAACAGGACTGATTTCTTTTTTTAAGGCTCAATAGTATGCAGGGGGCACATTTTCTTTATCCATTCATATGTCAAGGGACTCATCAGTGGATTCCAGATCTAGGCTCTTGTAAATAATGCTACAACAAGGCTGAGGATACACATAGGGTAGGACCTGCTTAGCATGCCCCAGGGTCTGGGTTCAATCCTTGGCAACACACACACACACACACACACACACACACACGCACACACACGCACGCACGCGCACACACACACGAGTCTAATGATGCTGCAGTAAACATGAGAGTGCACCTATCTCTTTAACATGCTGATGTCCTTTTCTTTGGGTATATAGAAGTGGAACGGCTGGATCCTGTGGTAGTTCTGTTTCTAATTTTTGAGGAAACTCCATATTGTTTTCTATCATGCTGGGCTAATTATCACCAAGAATATATGAGTTC